AGCCTCCCGAGTAGCTGAGATTACAGGCCAGTGCCTCCATGCCCAGCTAATTTTTGTATTTTGGGATTTTTAGTAGAGACGGGGTTTTACCATGTTGGCCAGTCTGGTCTTGAACTCCTGACCAGGAGTGATCCACCTGCCTCAGCCTCCCAAAATGCTGGGATTACAGGTGTAAGCCACTGTGCCCTGCCCTAAACTGATATTTTTAAAAATTGATATTTTAAAACACTAAGGAGGCTGGGCACAGTGGCTCACACCTGTAATCCCAGCACTTTGAGAAGTTAAGAGGGGCAGATCACTTGAGGCCAGGACTTTGAGACCAGCCTGGCCAACATGGTGAAACTCCGTCTCTACTAAAAATACCAAAAAATTAGCTGGGCATGGTGGTGCTTGCCTGTAATCTCAGCTACTCAGGAGGCTGAGGCAGGAGAATCACTGGAACCCAGAAGGCGGATGTTGCAGTAAACCGAGATCGTGCCACTGCACTCTAGCCTGGGTGACAGAGGGAGATTCTGTCTTAAAAAATAATAATAGGGCCAGTTGTGTTGTCTCACACCTGTAATCCCAGCACTTTGGGAGGTCAAGAGGGGTGGATGGATCACCTGAGGTCAGGAGTTTGACACAAGCCTGGCTAACATGGCGAAACCCGGTCTTTACTAAAAAAAAAATATACAAAAAGCCAGGCATGGTGGTGCACACCTGTAATCCCAGCTACTCAGGAGGCTGAGGCAGGAGAATCGCTTCAACCCAGGAGGTGGAGGTTGCAGTGAGCCAAGATCATGCCACTGCACTCCAGCCTGGACAACAAGAGCAAAACTCCGTCTCAAATAACAATAATAATAAAATTTAGCCGGGCGCGGTGGCTCAAGCCTGTAATCCCAGCACTTTGGGAGGCCGAGGCGGGTGGATCACGAGGTCAAGAGATCGAGACCATCCTGGTCAACATAGTGAAACCCCGTCTCTACTAAAAATACAAAAAATTAGCTGGGCATGGTGGCACGTGCCTGTAATCCCAGCTACTCAGGAGGCTGAGGCAGGAGAATTGCCTGAACCCAGGAGGCGGAGGTTGCGGTGAGCCGAGATCGCGCCATTGCACTCCAGCCTGGGTAACAAGAGCAAAACTCTGTCTCAAAAAAAAAAATAAAATAAAATAAAAAATAAATAAAATTTAAAAATAAAAAATAAAACACTGAGGAGGTCAAAGAAAACCCCCATGGCAGCCTGTCTGCCTTCTGAGCCTCCAGTACGCAAGGCCTGTGCTGAAGGGCTCTGCACTTGCCCTTCTCTTTTCAGGCAAGGTCACCAGTGGAAACCCCCAAGGACAATACCTGTGTCTCTTCCAAGGACCATCCCTCCTGCCTAACACAGTCCCTGGCAGGGAGCAGGTACTCAGTGTGTGTTTTTGCACTAGGCTCCAAGATAAAGGTTTTCTGATCACTCTTCAACTCAACAAACGTGGCACCCTAGTGCCTGTGAAATATCGGGGCAAACACTTTATCCTTATTTGAAGCCCTGTCTTTTCTGTCCCGACATCCCAAGATTCAGAGCACTCTGCCCTATGGGGCCTCCCTGGCTCAGCCTAAAAGGTTGAGTAATACTCAGTAATCCATTTACCAGTGGCAGTGCTTGCACCAACCCCTGGGCCCTCTATAAAGTGAAAGAAAACGCCTTTGGCCTCTGCCCAGAGCTACAGATACCTGGAGTAGGAGCAGGCAGAAGATGCGTGGTGGATAAAGACCAGAGAGACTTGGGATAGAATTCCACTCTCACCACCAGTTTAGTTTTCTTGAGCTTGCTGCTCCAAACAGGCAGAATGTGAAAATTAAGATGCCTTCCCCAGTAGCACCCCCAGTTCAGTTTTCTCTAGCTTGCTGCTCCAAATAGGCAGAAATGAAAATTTAGGTGCTTTTTCCCCCCGTAAAACAAGGCCGACGAGGATGGGATTCGAACCCACGCGTGCAAAGCACAATGGATTAGCAGTCCATCGCCTTAACCACTCGGCCACCTCGTCCTACGAGAAGCAGCTCTTTCCACATTCCCTTATCTCTCATCTCCTCCGCACCTTCCGAGCACTACCACCCACCTGGCAATGCTAACCTCCTCGGACCCGAGGAAAGGAGAAGCCGCGGGAGGAAAGGAGCGTTGTGATTTCCTTTCAGCCGGGAGCCCGCGCCATCCCTTACCATGCTGCAGCCGAGCTCTGCCGCGCGTTCCTCAGAGTCCGGCCGAGCGCGCCGGGCGTTCAGGGCGCGCTCGGTTCGGGGTGCGCGCGCCAGCGAGGCAGGAGGAGCGCGCGTCCCGGGAAGCCGGCGGGGCCCGAGAGGGCGGGGCGTCTGCACCGCGCGCGGCCGGGCGGCGAGGCCGTGGCTCCTCCTCCCTCGCAGGGGGCGAGCTGGCGCGTCCGGGGCTGGGGGCGGCGGCAGGCGGCGGGCGGGGCGGCGCGCGGGGCTCGGCTGGCCTCGGCTCGTCTCGGCTGCTCTCGGCAGGCTGCGGTAAATCCCGGCTTGCGGCGGTTGGCGTACTCTGTGGCCGGTGGTCTTTGCTGCGCGCCCCGAGCCCCGAGAGCCATGCAGATGTCCTACGCCATCCGGTGTGCCTTCTACCAGCTGCTGCTGGCCGCGCTCATGCTGGTGGCGATGCTGCAGCTGCTCTACCTGTCGCTGCTGTCCGGACTACATGGGCAGGAGGAGCAAGACCAGTATTTTGAGTTCTTTCCCCCGTCCCCACGGTCCGTGGATCAGGTCAAGGCGCAGCTCCGCACCGCGCTGGCCTCCGGAGGCGTCCTGGATGCCAGCGGCGATTACCGCGTCTACAGGGGCCTGCTGAAGACGACCATGGACCCCAACGATGTGATCCTGGCCACTCACGCCAGCGTGGACAACCTGCTGCACCTGTCGGGTCTGCTGGAGCGCTGGGAGGGCCCGCTGTCCGTGTCGGTGTTCGCGGCCACCAAGGAGGAGGCGCAGCTGGCCACGGTGCTGGCCTACGCGCTAAGCAGCCACTGCCCCGACATGCGCGCCAGGGTTGCCATGCACCTCGTGTGCCCCTCGCGCTACGAGGCAGCTGTGCCCGACCCCCGAGAGCCGGGGGAGTTTGCCCTGCTGCGGTCCTGCCAGGAGGTCTTTGACAAGCTAGCCAGGGTGGCACAGCCCGGGATTAATTATGCGCTAGGCACCAATGTCTCCTACCCTAATAATCTGCTGAGGAATCTGGCTCGTGAGGGGGCCAACTATGCCCTGGTGATCGATGTGGACATGGTGCCCAGCGAGGGACTGTGGAGAGGCCTGCGGGAAATGCTGGATCAGAGCAACCAGTGGGGAGGCACCGCGCTGGTGGTGCCTGCCTTCGAGATCCGACGAGCCCGCCGCATGCCCATGAACAAAAACGAGTTGGTGCAACTCTACCAGGTGGGCGAGGTTCGGCCCTTCTATTATGGGCTGTGCACCCCCTGCCAGGCACCCACCAACTATTCCCGTTGGGTCAACCTGCCAGAAGAGAGCTTGCTGCGGCCTGCCTACGTGGTGCCTTGGCAGGACCCCTGGGAGCCATTCTACGTGGCAGGAGGCAAGGTGCCCACCTTCGACGAGCGCTTTCGGCAGTATGGCTTCAACCGAATCAGCCAGGTGCTCATAAGGGAGCGGGCAGGGGTTGGGGCAGGAGGGGTGGTGGGATCACGTAGTTACAAGGAGTGGCCCTGGATGGAAAGGAGGCAATGAAGCAGGAGGGATCATAGTTTAGGAGGGGGATGGATGGTATGGAAGATCCAGGATGCTTCCAGAAGGGGGAGGATGCTGGACTGTGGCTTGAGGGAAGTCAGTCTCAGCCCTGTAAATGTCATCAAATTTTGCTGACCTGTCTTTCCCCCTACAGGCCTGCGAGCTGCACATGGCGGGGTTTGATTTTGAGGTCCTGAACGAAGGTTTCTTGGTTCATAAGGGCTTCAAAGAAGCGTTGAAGTTCCATCCCCAAAAGGAGGCTGAAAATCAGCACAATAAGATCCTTTATCGCCAGTTCAAACAGGAGTTGAAGGCCAAGTACCCCAACTCTCCCCGACGCTGCTGAGCCCTTCCCTCCCCTAGTCTGAGAAGTCAGCCTCTTGGCTCCTCAGGCCACCTGTAGGCCTGACTGGGGTAAGAAACGTGGCTTCACTTTACAGAGGTAGCTGTGGTGTTGAAACACTGGACTTGAATATGGGGTGCTGGGATCGAGTCCTAGCTTTACCACTAACTAGCTGTGTGGCCTTGAGTAAATCCTGTTACCTCTCTGGGCCTCAGTTACCCTGTCTGTAAAAAGGGAGGTGAGAATACCTACCTCACAGAACTGTTGGGAGGCTCAGATGAGACGCTATATGTGAAAACATTCTGTAAGCTTCGTACAAATGTGAAGTATTAATATTATCGCAGTATTATTATTGTTATTATTATTGTTATTAACAATCTTGGGTGGGTAGGAGAGCAAAAAGTATGAATGGGATGGAGCTAAGAAGTCTGAGTACTTAATGAAATGGACTTTCTGGAAAGAAATCAGATGAAGGCATACAATTTAGTTCTTAGCTCTTGGGCAGAAGCCTGAAATTCCTGGTTCTCTCAGGCCTTCGGCCTCAGGAGCTCTGAAGGAGGGAAGAGACTGCAGGCTCCATGGGTGACAGCCTCAGATCTGTCCCTTCAACAGGCTGGGCTGAGTATGTGCCTATCGATGACAATGTGTAAATAAATGAGTGTTCACACCCACAGCTGGCTCCGTTACTCTCCTGAGCTGGGGGTGGAGGAGTCGGGGCCGGGTTCTCCCTTTGCACACGGTGGGGAGGTGGCCACGGACGAAGGACGCCGCCGGCAAAGCACTGAAACCTCAGGGCCTTCCCTGCAGGCCGGAGGCCTGCGTGAATGTCGGCCAGTTGCTATGGAGACCGGCCCGCGGTATCCCAGCATGCCTCGGGACGCAGCTGTCCAATTGTGAACACCCCCGACGGTCGCCTCCTGATGAAGCACACGGAAGCAGCGACGGTTCTGCCTCCGGGAGAAGAGGCAGCCGCGCAGGTCTTACGGGAGGCCGGCGGCAGCAACCGGTACCGGCAACCACGGGCACTTCTCAGGGAATCTCGGTCGTGAGGCCAGAGGCCCAGTCCCCGCGGTGCGTATCGCCATGCATGGCTTTTGGTTCAGCCTCTCGGGTTAGTCCAGCAGGGCCGGCACAATCTCCTCCTCCGAGGCCGAAGCAGCGATGTAACCGACCTGACGCGTGCTGGGCCGCGGGCCAGCCGGCAATGTTCCGGCCCTTTCCGGCTCATCTAGAAGGGAGCAGGAGGCTCCCTGGGCGCCGCTGAAAAGCTGGGTTGACCTGTGCGAGAGTGGGGAGGGTCTGCCTTCTCTGGGGGCCTGCCCCGGAGGAGCTGCCATTCTGAAAAGATAAATTGCCTGTGTACCGCGCTTTACAATGTGCTTTTCCATCCCTTACCACCTGCGAGCTCTTCAACACTCAGAGCAGGAATAGTTACCTGTTTTTTGCACCCGGGGCAAGGAGGGAAGGTTGTGACTTAACACACTTAAAATCAGCTGGAGGAGAGAAAGTCTTCTGGAAGAGATAGGACTTAAGCTGCGTCTTACAAATTGAATGTACTAACAGTGAAGAGGCATTGCAAATGTTGGGAACTGGTTTGGAAAACTGAGCTTTTCAGGTCAGGTTGAGGTCATTAGTGAAATTGTTGAGGAATGTGACTGAACGCTCACCTAGGCCAGGCTTACGATGCGTAACTTGACGGGACAGTTTGCTACCATTACAGGGACCGGGGACTACCAAAAAGTAAAAGCTAATCTCTGCCTCACAATTTTTGTTGTTGTTGTTAAATTTGTATTTGCAAATCCTCCAGTCATCAAGTGAGCTAGTACTATGCTAGGTAAATAAGATGCGTGTGCAGCCCCTGCCCTAATGAGGCTCATCGACTGGGGGGACAGATGTGAGAATGGGCAAATAGGAGATATAAACAAAGCTTCCTGGAGGGAGTGATGTCTGCAGTGTTCTAAAGGACTACAAAGCAGTGTCTAGAGAAGTTGGAAGCATATCACAGTGAAACAGAACCCTGCAGGGGGCCGAGAGATTATCTGCTGAAAGGACTGTTTATTCTTCCTCTTGGGTGATCTCGTGGCAGTACTTGGCACTATCAGTACAATTACTGCTGGGAAGTACTTGGCTTCCTTCTGAAATTCTCTTTCTCCACGACTTCGGGTTTGCCGCCTCCTTTGTAGGAGTCTCCTCATCTGCCTCTTTGGTGACCCTAGGAGTTCCACTATGGATGTCTTCTGACCACACACATTCTGCCTTGCTAGTCGCACCTTCTCCTGTGGCATGAAGAACTTGCTGTAGGCTGATGACCAAATCTCTGCAGCTCAGATTTCTCACTGAGACTTAAACGCATGTACCCCCCAGCTGCTTTCCTTCTCTTATTGTGGGTCTTTGCTACTGACTTGACCTGGAATGTTCCCTCGCTCAATCAGCACAGCTCACCCAGCTGGTCCATCTTCTAGAAGCCCTCCCTGCTGCATCAGGCTTCAGGTCCTGGTTACATACCCCTCCCTTGTACCCTGGTCTTAACTCTCCTCGTACCAGAGTTATAGTCTGCTCCTTTGCGCCTCTCTCCCAAGAACTTGTAAACTCCGTGAGGTCAAAGGCAGTCACACTTGGGCCCCCTGCATACCATCGCGCCTGACAGTACCTAGCATATATTAGATGTTCAATACATGTTAGATGAGTCAGTAAAAGAATGTTTACCAGTGTTCAGTGTTGCCGAGCAGACAATTGAAATAAGCACTGAAAAATATTGGCATTACCCATAAGGAAGTCATTGGTTAATGGTAGAGGATCAGTTTCAGCTGAGATCGATGGGTACAGAAACACATCGAACAAGTGGGAAGTGAAACTAGGAACAGCCAATGTGCATGAAACCCTGAAAAGTATAACTGAATTGGCAGACAGGGAGCAGTCAGGTGGAAGGGTGAGGTTTTGTGTTTCTGTGTTTTGTTAATGGTAGAAAATACTCAAGCACATTGGAAGTTTCATGGGAAGGAGGTTGCTAAGAGGGAGAAGCTGAAGACACAGAAGAGAGAGGGGAGCACTGACGACCTGAGGTCCTAGAGGAAGCAGAAGGAAATGGGATTTGACCCAGAGCACAGTGAAAGACAAGGGGATTGTAACATTATCAGGAAGAGAAGCTGAGGACATTATAGGCAGAAGAAACAGCTGAGGCAGAGGGCAGAAAGTAGAAGGGCAAGCACTGGCCGTTAGATGGTGGGCTGAAGGAGCTGGACCAGGAGGGCAAGTCCAGTTTGTGAAAGACCTTGAAAGCCCCAGTCAGAAATGTAGATCCAGTTCAGGTATGGTGGCACACACCTATAGTCCCAGCTACTCAGGAGGCTGAGCCAGGAGAATCGCTTGAACCCAGGAGGTGGAGGTTGCAGTGAGCCAAGATTGTGCCACTGCACTCTAGCCTGGTGACAGAGTGAGACTCCCTCTCAAAAAAAAAGAAGGAAAATTGGCTGGGTGTGGTGGCTCATGCCTGTAATCCCAGCACTTTGGAAGCCTGAGGTGGGCGAATCACAAGATCAGGAGTTGGAAACCAGCCTGGCCAACATGGTGAGATCCCATCTCTACTAAAAATACAAAAAATTAACTGGGCGTAGTGGCAGGCACCTGTAATCTCACCTACTCGGGAGGCTGAGGCAGGAGAATCACTTGAACCCAGGAGGTGGAGGTTGCAGTGAGCCGAGATTGCGCCACTCACTCCAGCCTGGGTGACAGAGCAAGACTGTCTCAAAAAGAAAAATTTAGGTCCAGTTCCATAGGCAGTGGAGAGTGCCCCCTAGGCCTTTCCTTTCTGTGGATCATAGCCTTGGCCAGTATTCCCAGGATTAGGATTGCCAGTGACATCCAAGAGCAGGAGCATTTCCACAGCTCCCAGGCTTCTGTGAGAGGTGCAGATGGCCATTTGCACCCTTGTCACCCAGTATGTGCTCAAGGTGTGGCCAGGCCAGTCACTTCCTGGCTGTCCCAATCTGGGGTCCAGTTGGGTTCAGCTCCCCACTGCCTCTTTCCCCCGCTGAACTGAGGGCAGCTGTGAGTGATGGCTTCATTCCTTCTCCCAGAGTCCAGATGCCTGTCCAGCCTCCAAGCAAAGACACAGAAGAGATGGAAGCAGAGGGTGATTCTGCTGCTGAGATGAATGGGGAGGAGGAAGAGAGTGAGGAGGATCGGAGCGGCAGCCAGACAGAGTCAGAAGAGGAGAGCTCCGGTGAGCCCCTGTGCACACACACACAGCCCCTATACACAAGCACGTATGCACATGCACACACAGCCCCTACACACAAGCACACACCACCCCTATACATAAGCACGTATGCACACACAGCCCCTACATGCAAGTGCATATACACACACAGCCTCTACACACAAGCACACATGCACACACCCCTACACACAAGCACACACGCACACACCCCTACACACAAGCACACATGCACACACATACACAGCCCCTGCACACGAGCACACACAGCCCCTGCACACATGCACACAACCTCTACACATAAGCACACACACACACAGCCCTTACAAGCACACGCACACACAGCCCCTACACACAAGTACACACACACAGCCCCTACACACAAGCACACATGCAGATAGCCCCTGCACACAAGGACACATGCACACAGCCTCTACATGTAAGCACACACAAACACACGCACACACAGCCCCTACACACAAGCACACATGCACGTGCACAGATAGCCCCAACACACAAGCACACATGCGCACACACAGCCCCTACACACAGCACACATGCACATGCACACACCACTCCCACACAGAAGCACACATGCACATACAGCCCCTACAAACAAGCACACATGCTCATGCACACACAGCCCTTACATGCAAGCATGCATGCACACACACACAACCTCCACACACAAGTACACATGCACACCCACACAGCCTCTACAGACAAGCACGCACACACACACAGCCTCTACATACAAGCACACACACACAACCTCCACACAAGTACACATGCACACACACACAGCCTCTACACACAAGCTTGCACACATATATACACAGCCTCTACACACAAGCACACATGCACACACAGCCCCTACACACAAACACACACGCAAGATCGCACCAGCTTGCTCTACAACATGCTTCAGGGGGAGCTGCAAGAGCAGAGCCAGAGGCTGGACGCACACACAGCACACACACACACACACACACAGAGCACCTATGCATACGCACACACAGCCCCTACACATGCACACACATGAACACACATGCACACACACATGGGTATCCGCCACTCCTCTCCAGAGCTAGCCCTTACTGGCCTCTTGTCCAGAGATGGATGATGAGGACTATGAGCGACGCCGCAGTGAGTGTGTCAGTGAGATGCTGGACCTAGAGAAGCAGTTCTCGGAGCTAAAGGAGAAGTGAGTGTGGGTATACCTTGGGCTGGGTCTGTGAGGATCTGGGATGAGGAGGTGGTGGGCCTGGAACTGGGCAGGCATGGCTGGTGCCCAGGGAGTACACGCCTGACATGGGGCTTGCTGTGCAATAGGGGCTGGGTATGTGTTTGCTCAAGAGCGATGGGTGAGCAAATGGGTGCACTGCTGCCTTCTCCCTACCCAGGCTGTTCAGGGAACGACTGAGTCAGCTGCGGTTGCGGCTGGAGGAAGTAGGGGCTGAGAGAGCCCCTGAATACACAGAGCCGCTTGGGGGGCTGCAGCGGAGCCTCAAGATTCGTATTCAGGTGGCAGGTCTGTGGGTGGTTTTGTGCCCTATTCCCCTCCAAGAACCCATGACACGCTGTCCCCTTCCTTTCTCATTCCTGCCCGGCCTTACCCTTTGCTCTTAGCCCTCCTTTGTGGGCACTGGGCTCCCCAGCCAAGCAGGGCACCTCCTCTCACCCTCTGCAGGGATCTACAAGGGCTTCTGTCTGGATGTGATCAGGAATAAGTACGAGTGTGAGCTGCAGGGAGCCAAACAGCACCTGGAGGTGGGCCTGACAGCATACGGGGTGAGGCGGGCACAAGGCCTGCAGTGGCCTCCTCCTGTTCCTCCTGCTGAGCTATTGCCCCTCTTCTAGAGTGAGAAGCTGCTGCTCTATGACACGCTGCAGGGGGAGCTGCAGGAGCGGATCCAGAGGCTGGAGGAGGACCGTCAGAGCCTGGACCTCAGCTCCGGTGAGCGCCAGAGCCCGGCTCTGTCAACGCCCACCCTATTCTGGACTTCAGCTTTCCTAACTGCACAAGGGGACAGTCAGACGACCTGCCTCTTGGGGTCAGTGTGAGGACTGAAGGAGACCAGGCCTGGAAAGGGCCTAGCACACAATGGGGGCTCGGGCAGAGTGGGTCCCCCTGCCCTCTTCTGCCCCTGCTCTCTTTCCAAAACAGGTATCCGTGTGACATGCAGTCCCATACAGTAGCTGTAGTCCCCTCCATGTTCACAGTCCCAGTGTTCATGTGGAGTCCTGGAGTGGCAGGAATTGTCATTATCCCACTGTCCACTAAACAGATGAGGCTCAAGAAGTACAGCAGCCTCTTCCCAGGGTTGTGCAGTTGGGACGTGAACAGCCCTAAGGGGCTTCCTACCACGAGCCCAGGGTGGTGATGGGGCAGGGGAGGTGAGGCCAGGCTGGCCCATGGTGGGGGCAGAGGCTACAGAAGAGGGAGCGTCCTGTGGGCCAGCACCCCAATTTTGACTCTGGGTCTGGGGGCAGAGTGGTGGGACGACAAATTGCACGCCAGAGGCAGCTCCAGGTCTTGGGACTCCCTGCCGCCCAGCAAGAGGAAGAAGGCACCTCTTGTTTCTGGTATCCTTTCACCCAAGGTGGCCTAAAAGTGGGCAGGATCAGCTCCAGACCTGGGGTGGGGGGGTGTAGAGGACATGGAGGACAGTCACATAGATACTCTCATGGTTGCTCGGTGTCATGGTACCATGTCCAGGCAAATCCAGCTGTCAGCAGTTTCTTACGGGGTCCTGGGTCTCCCTGGGCTGTGTGGACCCTAGGAAAACAGAAATGGCCTGGGCTCAGTGGTGCATACCTCTTGTCCCAGCGCTTTGGGAGGCCAAGGCAGGTAGATTGCTTGAGCCCAGGAGTTCATTTCAAGACCAGCTTGGGCAACATGGTGAAACCCATCTCTAGAAAAAAACAAAAATAATCTAGGCATGGTGGTGCACACCTGTAGTCCTGCTACTCTGAAGGCCGAGGCAAGAGAATTGCTTGACCCTGGGAGGTTAAGGCTGCAGTGAGTGTGATGGTGCCACTGTACTCGAGCCTGCGTGAGGTTTGGCCTTTGAGGGCTTTCCGTCTCTCAGGGTTGTCCAAGTGGGTCCCCAGCTTTCCGTGGGCACCTTTGCTCATTTCCTACCCCCATTTTGAAAGTCCTGCCTGCCCCTGACCAGGGCTCATCTCAAACATTACCTCCTCTGTGAGGCCTCTCCTGGTCTTACCCCAGTGCCTGTGCCTTACTCTGGGGCGCCCACATTCCAGAGGGCACCGGCTGCCTCTGCCCCTCCCTAGGCAGGGTTAGCTTATGCTTAGTCCAGGGCCTGCTGTGCCTTCATCTGTCCTGGCAGAGTTGAGTCCTCTTGCGCCCCTGAGGGCATTCCTGCAGCAGCCAGTCTTAGTTATTACGGCCACCTGGTGCTGGAGAGCAGGCCCAGGCAGGGAGGGAGGCATCTGGAAGGCCGTGACTTGAACGAATGGGAGGTGAAGGCATGGAGACATCAGGTGGGGAGCACTGGGGGAAGGGAGAAGTTGGCTCTGGAGGGACAAGCCCTGAACCTGTCTTTGGATGGGGGATGGGGCCAGGTGAGGGCCAGTGCTACAGGGTGAGAGGGGATGGGCCTCAGCCAGCTGACCTCAAGGCGAGGTGAGGGCAAGTGAGGGACGGCAGGCAACACTTGGTGTCCTCCATGGATTTGGTTCCAGGAGGACCCCCGGAACCAGGGTCTAAGAGGTAGAACGTGGAACCTGAGCTCGGACCCGGGTCCTCAGCTCCCACTCCATGCTGTCTGCTGCGCCCCTACTCCTGAATGTCGGGTGGGTGACTCCGCCCCTGTCCTCATCACCTGCTGCCTCCACTGGGCTTCCTTGACCTCACCACAGGCCCGTACATCGTGTACATGCTACAGGAGATCGACATCCTGGAGGACTGGACAGCTATCAAAAAGGTGGGGCTGCTGCCGCCCATGTCCCCTGCCTCACCTCAGGGCCCCCGCACCCTGGCAGCAGCTCTGCCATCTGCAGGCCTAGGAGTTCTGTTCACCAAGGCTTCCCTACCTTTAGCCCAGGGTCCCTGGATCGCAGTCGGCTCACAAGTCCTCTTGCTCGAGGAGGCCCTGGGAGAAGGGACTTGTAGCCTGTGTCAGCCCCTTCCTGTTCCAGGGCACGTTTTGGTGGAGTGGGAGGGTGGTGGGAAGGCGGGAGAGCAGCTGAGCTGGCTGGCGGTCAAGTGTATGGGAGCTCTGCCTGGGAGGGCCTATGCTCCCAGCCCTGGGGGCGCAGCACTGAGGCAGCAGCCCGAATGCCACAGAGGTGGGGGGTGGGGACAGGGATTGCCAAGCTGGAGGTGGGCTCTCAGGGGGCTTTTCTTCTCACCCACCCAGGCTAGGGCAGCTGTGTCCCCTCAGAAGAGAAAATCGGATGGTAAGAACCATGGCTGTCATATGGCCTCCCCTTCCCCCTCACCATCACTTTCCCTCAGCTCAGCCTCCAAGAGGGAGCCCAGAGGGGCTGTGCCTGTCACAATCAGTGGCCCAAGACAGTTAAGATGATCTAGATTTGAGGGGTTTGCAGGAGTTTGAGGAGCAGGAACCAGGATGGGGCTGATGGAGCTCCCACTCAGGAGGGGACAGGGAGGGCCGGGGAGCTGCTCAGGAGGCCTGTCCTGGGCCAGCCTGAAGCCGCTCCCCTCAGTAAGTGGCTACTTCCCTCCTTTCAGCTTCCTCACTGGTGACAGTTTTCTCTTTCCTGCATATGCACAGGACCGTGACCCTGCTGTTCACAGCCAGGGGACCCTCAGAGCAGCTGGCATGGCACCCAGGATTCTCATCTTCCTGCTGCAGACAGGTGGACCCACAGGCCCCTCAGGGTCCACCCAGCCAGGCTCCTGTGGTGCTGCAGGGCCCTCCCCGCCTTGGCACTGGACTCCTCTGCCCTCCTCAAGGCCTGCACAGCTGTGGCTGTGGAGCTGACCTGGCCAGGCAAAGCTATTGTCTCCATCCCTGAGCCTCCTCCCGCTCCTGAAGATCCACCTCTTGGGGCTCCCCTGACAGAAGACAGCTGAAGTCGAAGCCACATCCTCCTGCTGACCTTGGATGCAAGCAGGCTCCCCGGCCTCTGGGCCAGGAAGCCAGGCCCCACTGGTGGGAACTCTGAGTCAGACGTGGTATCTGGAGGGCTGTCCACCCTGGCTGGAGCTGGAGGCAAACAGCCAGGCCCCCAGGTTTTCTCAGGGCAGTTCTTGGTGTCTGCCTCCCAGATTTCAAGGACTGGAATTAAAACCTTTCCTGGAACTCTGGCGTGCCCCGTGTGTGTGTGATTCACCTTGCAAGAGAATCAGAGCTTCTGTGGGGAGCGCCTGAACCAGGCCGGCTTCTGGGGTGCTGGCAGATTACCACTCCTTGCACTACCCAGCAGTGGCTGGAGCACTGTGCATAGGGCCAGTCTGGGGACAGGGAGCGGGGGAGGTGGGCGCTGGGCGGAGTCAGAAGCTGCTGGTGGAATGCCTCGGGTGGGGAGGGTGGGTGCATGTGCTTGGAGCCTGGGTCATGTCTGCACCTGTCCCAGTTGCCTGGCAGATTGTTGAGGCAGGCTGGCAGAGCCTGTGTGCGTGGGAGGCAGCCGACAGCAGCACCATGTGCTGGCGACCTCACAGCCAGACTCCCCCTGGTTAGCTCTGAGTGTCAGAACCACCCCCAGAACCTCAGTTAAGCAAAGAGGTTGGTTTCCATGGAGATGCAGCATCTTTTTTCCATGGCAACCTGAAATCCCAAAACCCAGGCTCAGGAATGAGTCATCTATGGACAGTAGAGGGTGCTCTCCCACAAGGCTGACCTGAGGCCGGGGCAGATGAGCAACTGACCACAGACCCGGAGGTGCCCTAAGGTCGAAGGGCGTGGCTAGGGCCTGTGGGGACTCAGTCGGGCCTGCTTAACCACTTCCCACCCACCTGTGCAATTTGAAGGGGAGGCTGCAGGAGGCCCTGTGTTGAGGTGGCACCCCCCCAGCTGGGGCCCTCAGAGTGGGGCTAGCTAGCATGGAGGGGACCCCTGACCACTGAGCAGGGTCCAGAACGGAAGAGGCAGTCACTGGCCAGGCGGGGTGGACACACAAGAGTTAACTGGCGGGTGTGACAGGCGGACCGCCCTCAGGAAGTGTTACTCACTGGGGATGTGCGCGCCTTGCCTTGGGGCTGGATTCTCTTCCTGAAGCCGAAGGAGCTCCCAGCCATGGAAAGCCCTGGAGAGCCAGACTCGGGCCTTTCTGGAGCCCGCAGCCCATCCAGCTTCACTCCTGGACACCTGGAGAGAGAAAAGTTAGTGAAGTTGGCATGGCAGCCAGGTGGGACAGGGAGGGGCTGTGAGAGGAGAGCCTATCCCGGGACAGAGAAGGTGGGAAACCCGGGAGCAGGGAAGAGGTGAGTAAAGGTCCCAGTCCCTGGCCCCTGCTCAGATCTGGGTGCCTGCCCCCAGGCCAGCCCAGGATCCACTGTACGACGTACCCGATGCCAGTGGCAGGCAGGCAGGCGGACCACAGCGGCCGGGGCGCGTTGTGAGCCTACGGGAGCGCCTGCTGCTCACCCGGCCCGTGTGGCTGCAGTTACAAGCCAACGCGGCGGCTGCTCTGCACATGCTAAGGACAGAGCCCCCGGGGGTGAGTCTTGCCCGACCTCCAGGGACTGGCCAGCCAGGGGTGGGAGAGAGAGGGGCTGGATGCCAAGGTCCTGAGCTGCCTGAGCCCCATCCACTTGCAGACGTTCCTCGTGCGGAAATCGAACACCCGCCAGTGTCAGGCACTGTGCATGCGGCTGCCCGAAGCCAGCGGCCCCTCCTTCGTCTCCAGCCACTACATCCTGGAGAGCCCTGGCGGTGAGGGGCTGGCCTGGCGGGAAGGGCTGGGAGCAGGGAGGTTCCCCGGAGAAGCACCTCACTTCCCTCCTCTCTCAGGCATCTCCTTGGAGGGCTCAGAGCTCATGTTCCCGGACCTAGTCCAGCTCATCTGTGCCTACTGCCACACCCGGTGAGTCTGCCCACAGGGTGCCTGGTGTCCACGGGCCCTGCTCCTTGGGACAGCCCATCCTCCCCACCCACTTCAGCCCAAGCATCCCTCACTCCCTTCTGCTCCCCTCTCTGGCCTCAGGGACATCCTTCTCCTCCCGCTCCAGCTCCCCACAGCCATCCAGCAGGCAGCCACCCACAAAGAGCTGGAGGCCATCTCCCATCTGGGCATTGGTAAGGGCTCCCTGCCACCCATTGCACAGATGGACAAGCTGAGGCTGAGGGGAAGGGAAGGCTCGCAGCACACAGCCTGAAGCATGTGCCTTTCCTTGCTTAGGAACCCTCCCCTAACCGATCCCAGAGGCCCCAGTTAGTTTCTTGTTCCCTAGAGTTCTGGAGCTCCTCCCTCAACATCAAGGCTCAGCGGGGCCCAGCTGGAGGCCCAGTGTTGCCCCAGCTGAAGGCCCGGTCCCCTCAAGAGCTGGACCAGGGCACCGGAGCCGCCTTGTGCTTCTTCAACCCCCTGTTCCCAGGGGACCTGGGGCCCACCAAGCGGGAGAAATTCAAGAGAAGCTTCAAAGTGCGCGTCTCCACAGAGACCTCCAGCCCCCTGTCTCCACCGGCCGTGCCGCCTCCCCCTGTCCCCATGCTGCCAGGGGCAGCCCCCAGACAGGCAGAGCGGCTGCCCCCTTGCCAGCTGCTGCGGAGGGAGAGCTCACTGGGGTATCGTGTGCCAGCAGGTGGCGGCCCTAGCCTTCCACCCCTGCCCTCCCTCCAGGAGGTGGACTGTGGCTCCCCCAGCAGCTCCGAGGAGGAGGGGGCGCCAGGGTCCCAGGGGAGCCCAGCGACCTCACCCCACCTGGGCCGCCGGCGGCCTCTGCTTCGGTCCATGAGTGCCGCCTTCTACTCCCTACTTGGGCCAGAGCGGCAGGTGGGCCGGGCTGCAGCGGCACTGATGCAGGACCGACACACAGCCGTGGGCCAGCTGGTGCAGGACCTACTGACCCAGGTGCGGGCTAGGCCCGAGCCCCAGGAGTTGCAGGGCATCCGCCAGGTGCTGAGCCGGGCCCAGGCCATGCTGAGTGCGGAGCTGGGCCCTGAGAAGCTGCTGCCGCCTAAGAGGCTGGGTGAGGCTCCATCTCTCCATAGCTCCAGCACTGCCCCGTCTGACCCTCTGCTCCCCTCCAGTACCAGCCTAATTCTGTTCTGCTGCTTTACAAACCCACCTTGTCTTAACCACTGTTCGGGAGAGTTCCATCCCCTCTCTCCCCCAACACTCCCATCTCACCCAGTCTACCTCCTCCTGCTTTCCTTGCCCCTCCTCCCCAATTCTACCCCTGCTCCCTTCTCTCCTGACCTCTGCCCCCACCTCCAGTCCTGCCCTGTTTCCCCTGACCCCTCCCTGCTCCTCGTCTGGCAGAGCATGTGCTGGAGAAGTCGCTGCATCGCTCTGTGCTCAAGCCTCTCCGGCCCATCCTGGCAGCCCGCCTTCGGCGCCGGCTTGCTGCAGACGGCTCCCTGGGCCGCCTAGCTGAGGGCCTCCGCCTGGCCCGGACGCAGGGGCCCGGAGCCTTCGGGTCCCACCTGAGCCTGCCCTCCCCAGTAGAGATAGAGCAGGTGCGCCAGAAGCTGCTGCAGCTGCTCCGCACATACTCACCCAGTGCGCAGGTCAAGCGGCTTCTGCAGGCCTGCAAGCTGCTCTACACAGCCCTGAGGACCCAGGATGGTATGTCCCTGCCACACCTCACCTTGCCCTGCCCCTCTGAGTCAGAGGCGGGCTCCCCAGCGGCAGGTCCCCAGGACCCTGGAACGGCACTGTGGGGGAGAATGAGCCCACCCTCCTGTCTCACAAATGGTGAAACTGAGGCCCAGAGAGCAGCTCGTCCTCTCCGCAGCCCCTCTACGGTTGCTAGGCCGGGGGGAGGGGTCACTGCCTAAAGCAAGGATTGCACCTGAAGTTTCTTCCTCTCACTGTGTCCCCACAGGGGAGAGCGCAGGTGCCGACGAGTTCCTGCCTCTGCTGAGCCTCGTCCTGGCCCACTGCGACCTTCCTGAGCTGCTGCTGGAGGCCGAGTACATGTCGGAGCTGCTGGAGCCCACCCTGCTCACCGGAGAGGGTGAGGGACCCCCACCAACTTCCCTGTCCTGGTGGGCCCTGAATAAGCAGGGAAGGGGAGAGGGGGTGGGGTGCCCCATGCCCAGCCTGAGCTGTGTTCTTCCACATTGTGTTCCAGGTGGCTACTACCTGACCAGCCTCTCTGCCAGCCTGGCTCTGCTAAGTGGCCTGGGCCAGGCCCACACCCTCCCACTGAGCCCCGTGCAGGAGCTGCGGCGCTCCCTCAGCCTCTGGGAGCAGCGCCGCCTGCCTGCTACCCACTGCTTCCAGGTAACAGGCCCTCCACCGTGTCCTCAGAGCCAGACACGATCCCCGCCCTATACCTTCCTGTCCCTGGTGAAGAGTCCAGACTCTGTAGCCAGATCCTGGGTTCAAATCCTAGCTCTGCCACTGGGTTGTGGGAACTTGGGCAAGTTACTTAACTACTTTGTGCCTCAGTTTTCTCATCAGTAAAACGGGGTAATAGGACCTACCTTCTGGGGTTGATGTGAAGATTAAATGAGTTAATGCAGGAGAGCGCTTGGGGCACAGACTGCATGCTAACAAAGCTTTGTCTCAGGCTCGTGAGCTCCCTGCTGGGCTGTCCTTGCACCTGCAGCTGTGGCCCACGAGCCCACCCCTGGAGCTCACAGAGCTTTTGCCACTTGGTTCCTCCGATGGATTTCTACCTGCCCACCTGTCCCTGCACAGCCCACACTGGCCCCTCAGCCAGGACTAAGTACTTGCTTTCACTTCTCCTGCATAGCACCTTCTCCGAGTAGCCTATCAGGACCCCAGCAGTGGCTGCACCTCCAAGACCCTGGCTGTGCCCCTAGAGGCCTCGATCGCCACCCTGAACCAGCTCTGTGCCGCCAAATTCCGAGTGACCCAGCCCAACAATTTTGGCCTCTTCCTGTACAAGGAGCAGGGCTACCACCGCCTGCCCCCTGGAGCCCTGGCCCACAGGTTGCCCACCACAGGCTACCTCATCTACCGCCGGGCAGAGTGGCCTGAGACCCAGGGGCCTGCAACAGAGGAGGAGGGCAGTGGGCAGTCAGAGGCAGGGAGCAGAGGGGAGGACCCAGGGTGCCGGGGAGATGGGGACGCTGGGGTCAAAGCCGGCCCCAGGGACATTTGGGAAGAGTCCGAGGCAACTGCTGAAGGGGGCCAGGGTTGGGACCGGGGAGGGCCTGCTCAGCCAGGGGAGCCAGAGGCAGAGGGAAGCCGGGAAGCAGAGGAGTAGCTTGAAGTGGCCAGAAGGGGTCACTGGGGGCGGGAGACCCAGAGCCTGTTGAGAAGTCCTTTCAGCGCCAGTAGCCCCACCCCAGGCTCCGTCCTGTGTGTGCCATCACCTTTGTCTGATACTTGTCTCTGGGGAATCTGGAGGAACTGCCACAACTGAGGAAATAGAATAAAGCTGAGGGGGCTTGTAGGACCCCCAGACTGTGTGCCCAAGGCTCCTTGCCTCTTGTTCTTCTCCCAGCTGAGGGCGAGCCAGCCTACAACGGGGAGTGTGTCAAGTAGGGACAAATCCAACCACCCGATGGCCAACCTCCAATGTGGGGAAGGTGGTGGTCTCGGCTGCTTTCACGCCCACCCCCATGTGTGCAGCTCAGGCTGGGCTCTACCCAAGCAGCCCCCACCAGGCTCGGACTTCTGGGCTCTGAAAGGTTCCAAGTCCTCCTGGGGGTCAGGAGGATTTAGAGGCCACAGAACAGCAGCAAAGGCTTGAGGTCCATCCCTGCCCTTGAAACCCAAAGGACCTGCACTGCGAGCCTCAGTCTCATCTGTAAATCGGGGACACTACTGCTGCCCTGCCTGGCTCCCAGACGTGTTCCAGGAATCAAAATGTGTGATTTTGCTACAAGCAGAGCTCACTGCAGAAAGGGAGGGAGGGAGGGAGCTGGGCTGCTAACTCTCCTGGAGTCTGGTCCCTGCCAGACAGGGCTCCCACCTGCTCATGCCCAGTCCAGGGATAGAAATCAGGCCCTGGGGAGAAAATACCCAATTTACAGTCTCTCCCCAAGACTGGAAGTCCTCCCAGTCCCTCCAGCATCTCCAGGAGATCCACTGGCCGGCAAATAAGCTTCCAGAATGGAGAGGGGCTAGGAAACCATGCTCTCTGCACAACACTTGGCCCTCACAAAAGCTTTACCTGGCCATGGCTTGTTGGGCCCACTGAGGTTCAGGAAAGTGACTCCCAGGGTGTCACACAGCAAGTCCTTAAGGGTTCCCCCACCCAAACCAGGGCATCAGGTTCCAACTCCATCTACAAAGGCTGGGGAGCCCCCAAGGGAGCCCAGAGCAGGCTGCAAATCTAAACAAGGAAAAAGTGCCGACAGCCAACCACAAGGGGGCGTGTACGGCCCAGGAAGCTGCTGAGAGGGTGACCACCCACCGAGGGACAAGGGCACTTCCAGGGTTGCAGCAGCGAGGTGGGGGGTGTAGAGGGGGATCCCTGGCCATACATTCAGGCGTTAGGCAACCTGGGGACAGCGTAGGGGCCGAGGCTTCAGGCCCTCAGGTCCCCTTAGAGTCTGGGTCTGGATAAGGCCAGCCTCTCCGGGGCCATCCCCAGGAAGGAAGGAATTGTCCCCCTTTGGAGGACTACCCCAGAGGCTCTCTCCTCTGGCACCGAGCACAAAGGGACATCGGTCCACATGTCAGACATGACAACTGGGTGGTGGAAATGGTGGACATTGGCTTTTTTTTTTTTTTTTTTTTTTGAGAGAATTTTGCTCTGTCGCCTGGCTGGAGGGCAGTGGTACGATCTTGACTCACTGCAACCTCCACCTCCTGGTTCAAGCGATTATCCTGCCTCAGCCTCCTGAGTAGCTGGGACTACAGGCATGGGACACCACACCTGGCTAAGTTTTGTATTATTAGTAGAGAGGAGGGTTTCCTCATGTTTGCCAGGCTGATCTCGAACTCCTGACCTCAGGTGGTCTGACCACCTTGGCCTCTCAAAGTGCTGGGATTACAGACATGAGTCACTGTGCTTGGCCAGACATGGGCTTTCAGATGAGCGATCCAGACACAGTCCCGTTGCAGGGCTCCCAAATTTCTCACTAGGCCACTGGCAGCTCTTCCCTCCCCACTTGCACGTCATCCCAAGCTCCTTGCTGATAGGAGGTGTCCCCTTTGGTTCTTCTGTCCTTCCTCCCTGTTTCACCCCCTCCCCTGACCTCCTGCAGTGCCTCGCATAGTCCAATGCTAAGCACAAACACCATAGGTGCTCAATAAATGCTGTCCACTGATTGGAGTTTGATAACCAGGAGTGAGGGACAGTGAGGCAGAAACCTAGGGAGTATAAGGGAGGGCTGGGTTCTGGGAATCAAACACAGGATGTGTCAAGCTCAGTCCCAGAGGAAGAACCTGGAATGTTTATAGAGGGTGCTCTGAGGATCCCAGGGGCCGGATGTACAGCTAGTCTCACGGGAATGAGGCTCTGGGGCCTCTGCAAGCCCTTCCTACCCTTGTCAGGCTCAGCAGACTTGACCATCCCCCTTCCCACCCTCCCCAGTGATGGAGCACCACAGGGGGCTGCCACTGCCTAAGTCTTGAGGTTTTTCTTCTCAAGAAACTCTGGGCCAGGCGCGGTGGCTCCCACCTGTAATCCCAGCACTTTGGGAGGCTGAAAACGGTGGATCACCTGAGGTTAGAAGTTCGAGACCAGCCTGGCCAGCATGGTGAAACCCCATCTCTACTAAAAATACAAAAAGGCCGCCGGGCACGGTGGCTCAAGCCTGTAATCGCAGCACTTTGGGAGGCCGAGGTGGGTGGATCACGAGGTCAAGAGATCGAGACCATCCTGGCCAACATGGTGAAACCCCATCTCTACTAAAAAAAATACAAAAAATTAGCTGGGCATGGTGGTGCGTGCCTGTAATCCCAGCTACTCAGGAGGCTGAGGCAGGAGAATTGCCTGAAGCCAGGAGGCGGAGGTTGCGGTGAGCCGAGATCGTGCCATTGCACTCCAGCCTGGGTAACAAGAGCGAAACTCCGTCTCAAAAAAAAAAAAAAAAAAAAAAAAAGGCCGAGCACGGTGGCTCAAGCCTGTAATCCCAGCACTTTGGGAGGCCGAGGTGGGTGGATCACAAGGTCAAGAGATCGAGACCATCCTGGTCAACATGGTGAAACCCCGTCTCTACTAAAAATACTAAAAATTAGCTGGGCGTGGTGGCGTGTGCCTGTAATCTCAGCTACTCAGGAGGCTGAGGCAGGAGAATTGCCTGAACCCAGGAGGCGGAGGTTGTGGTGAGCTGAGATCGCGCCATTGAACTCCAGCCTGGGCAACAAGAGCGAAACTCTGTCTAAAAAAAAAAAAAAAAAAATACAAAAATTATCTGGGTGTGGTGGCATGTGCCTATAGTCCCAGCTACTAGGGAGCTGAGGCAAGAAAATTGCTTGAACCTGGGAGGTGGAGGTGGCAGTGAGCTGAGATCCTGTCACTGCACTCCAGCCTGGGCAAGAGAGTCAAAAAAAAAAAAAGACAGGCCGGGCGCGGTGGCTCAAGCCTGTAATCCTAGCACTTTGGGAGGCCGAGGCGGGTGGATCACGAGGTCGAGAGATCAAGACCATCCTGGTCAACATGGTGAAACCCCGTCTCTACTAAAAATACAAAAAATTAGTTGGGCATGGTGGCGCGTGCCTGTAATCCCAGCTACTCAGGAGGCTGAGGCAGGAGAATTGCCTGAACCCAGGAGGCGGAGGTTGCGGTGAGCCGAGATCGTGCCATTGCACTCCAGCCTGGGTAACAAGAGCGAAACTCCGTCTCAAAAAAAAAAAAAAAAAAAAGAGAAGTAACGAAAAGAAACTGATTGGTCAGGGGTCTAGGTCAAATCAGCATCAACAAGGACATGATGATCCTGAGGCAGAGCCTCCAGGCAAGGCAGACAATAATAGGCCAGTGTAAAAGCAGTCTCATTAGCTCCATTTTACAGATGAGGAAGCTCAGGTTTGCTCAGGGAAAGTGCCTTGTTACAGGGCAAAGTGCTCGGACACCAGGTTCTGCAGTTCTCCAAAGCAGAGGGACTGATTTGTCTACTCAGCCCTCCTATCAAATATCTGTTATAGGCCGGGTGAGGTGGCTCATGCCTGTAATTCTAGCACTCTGTGGCCAAGGTGAGCGGATCACCTGAGGTCAGGAGTTCGAGACCAGCCTGGTCAACATGGTGAAACCCCATTTCTACTAAAAATTCAGAAATTAGTTGGGCACGGTGGCTTGTGCCTGTAGTCCCAGCTACTTGGGAGGCCGAGACAGGAGAATCGCTTGAATCTGGGAGGCAGAGGCTGCGGTAAGCCAAGATTGCGCCATTGCACCCAGCCTGGGAAACAGAGCAAGACTCCCAAAAAAAATCAAACAACAACAACAGAAATGTCTGTTACAGACCAAGCACCAGGCACCCCCAGCTCCAGCCAAAGGGAAACATGTTACATCTCTCTATCTGCATGGTGTGATTTGGGCAGAAACTGAAAGTCCACTGTGTGCTAGGGAGTCCATGTCACCCCTCCCCCAGCCTTTGTCCTTATGGAAAAGGCGCCAAGGCTCCAAAAAGTGATGTGCCTGGTCCAGCATCCCCTGCAGCAGGGCAAGACTGGAACTCTGACGTTCGGATCTGTTAAAGAGCAGCCAGGTCATTTCCTTACTTGGAAATGCTGCCCTTATCACTCCTAATGTCACTGTGGTTCTGTATGCAAGTTTATTGTCTGTCTCCCTCACTAGAATGTCAGAGCCAGCACCACCTTGCTCCCAGCTAAATCTCAAGGGCCTTGAACAATACCCGGGCCGGAATTGGCACTTGTGAGTCTATGTGGAATGACTGATTTGGAAAGACGCAGCCTAAACTGTCCCTCTGCTTTCCTGGGGTGCAGGGTGGTGAGTCCTTCATCGCTGCCACCAGGGGTGAGCATGCCTCACTCCTGGCCCCGTGTGGGGTCCCCTCCACTGAGAAGGCTGTCCAGAGGCCCCAGGGGACTCCATGCTCCTGGCCTGGTGCTGGGAGGAAAGTGCCTGGCAGTGAGTCCCTGGGACTGTCCTTCAAAGGGGGGCCCTGCAAATGGGGGTGAGAGAAGGGCCGAATACCCCTGGTTCTGTGGGCCAGGGTGCTCCAGGATCCAGAGGCCTACTGGGTGGCCTGAAAGGGGTGCAGTGGAAGGCAATCATTGAGACCCAACCCACCCTGCCACACCTTCAATACAGAGCGTCTAGCACCCTGCCATGGCCTTACAACCCATGTTCACACCCACAATTAACACACAGTGACACCATCTGACCCACATTCCCACACAGGGTGCACACCCTGCCAGCCACAGGCACGTGCAACCACCCTGGGGCACCCCCAGGATGAACAGGCACACCCTGACACCGTCAGCCATTCACTCCTGTGGGACGGGACACAGAGACACACTAGTGCCCCTCCTCCCAGATACACCCTGACACAGACCAGCCACCC